GACCACAAGTGTTAAGGCTTACAGCCTTACACAACATATGAATATATCAAAATACAGCCTTAAAGTTTCAGAAAGACAGAAAGGCAGAAATGCAGATTTCAGAGCTTCAGTCTTCAACAGTTCAACTTGGCAGTATACATCGTCTTCATTTCAGCCTTCAACACTTAACAGTTCAACAGGCACTCAGGCAGCAAGCACAAGTCTGCAAATTCAACTCAAGTCTGCAAATTCAGAAATAAACTAACTCATGCACTTATAATACTCCATGGCAAAAATAAAAACAGTAATAAAAGTCGAAAGAAAGTAGAATGTACCTATTATTGAAGATTTGAAGTTCAGTCCAGGTCCCTAATGCACTGCAGTATTCTTTTCCTTTTCAGCAACTGAAAAAAAGAAACAAACAGTCAGTCAACAAAGTATCTGAAACTGGCAAGCTGAAAGTTTAAAATGAAAAAAAAAACTGAAACTGTAAAACTACAACCTTCTTCCATGCGAAGGAGGTCTTCCTAACTCTCTTCGACACCTTCTTCTTCTTCAACTTCCCCCAAAGCCAATCCTGAGTGCAAATCAAGCATTGAACAGTTTTCGGAGTATAAGAACTCCTAAATGCATCCAACACCCTGCCACTTGTGCTAAATCAAGATTTCGAAGCAACAGTTGAGACAGGAATGGCAAAAAGATCACGAACCATCAGAGAAAGGATAGGAAACCTAGGATTGTTCACCTTCCACCAAGTCAACAGCTTAAAATTTGGAGAATCTGGTTCATCATTCTCCATCAAATACTTGTCTAATTCTGGTTTCTCATTTCTGTTTATGCAACCACCAGCTTCTTCAATTTTCTTCCTCGCCCAATCTTTCCTAAACTGAGCTCTAAGCAGCTTTGAAGGCTCGATATCAATCGTGGAAGGTCTTTGCCCCGATGAAGTTGCTTGAGAATTACTGGATTCAGAATTGCAAGGCGTAGTAGAACTACGTTTAGGGGTATGGATTCTAACATAATCCGCAAACAACTCATAAACAGCGGTTTTAACATTTTCATATTTATTTTGTCCATCCACTAACCCATAAACCTCTTGAAATACAACTTCCATATATTTCAACTTATTTCTTGGATCAAATACACATGCCATTAAAACAGCAAGATTCATCTTCTCAATAGCACTATAGTATTTATGAAACTTAGCCCTCATCCTTTCAGCCACAACTCTTTGACCAGAATCATCACTTTCATTGATGATTTTCATCAACAGAACTTCAATACAAGTAGTATCAGTGAATAAAGCATCCGAAGAGACAGATTTGGTACGAGAAACCCTCAAGGTTGTCTCGTAAAAATGCTGAAGAATACCAGCAACCCCCCTAGCTTCTACCCAATCTAATAAAGTAGGCAGTCCAGGCCAAGAATTTGGCACTTCAGGATCAAACTTCAAAGTGTCTTTAAAATATGGATTTCTAGTTTCATATCTCTTAAAAGCTTTTTCATACAATTGAGCAATTTTCAGCATTAAATATGTACTATTCCACCTAGTATAAACATCTAATACAAGATTCTTAGAGCTACCAATCTTCTTAATTTCAGGACATTTTTTAAAACTTGCCAATCTTTTAGGAGACTGCCTAATATACTTAACTGCAGCCCTAATCCTATCAACAGATTTACCAATATAAGACAAACCATCTTTAACGACCAAATTCATCACATGAGCAACACAACGAACATGCAACCATTTAGCACCCAACACACACTTTTCTCGGTGAGCAAATTGCTCTTGCAAATATTCTATGGCAGAATCATTAGCACTAACATTATCAACAGTTATGGAAAATACATTTTCAGATTCAATTTCCTAATCCAACATACATTTCTCAATTGCAGCCCCAATATCAATCCTGTTATGACTTGCAATAGGGCAAAAACTTAAAATTTTCTTTTTTCAAATTCCAGTTATTGTCCACATAATGCCCAATCAAACACATATAGTTAATTTGCTGCAAAGAAGTCCAAGTATCTGTTATAAAGCAGATTCTACTAACATTTCTTTTAAGCTCATTTTTCAGTTTTTCCCTCTCAGATAAATAGAGCTTAACAGTTATCAGCCACAGTTTGTCTACCATTAGGAACAAACAATGGCTGCAACTTCCAAACAAAGTATCTGAACCCTTTTTTTATCAACAAACTTAAAAGGCAATTCCTCAACTATTATCATGTAAATCAAAGCCCTAGTTATCTCTTCTTCGTTGTACTTCGAAGTACCTACATTTCCAGGTTTTCCCTCCCCAGTCTCAACAATTAACTTACTCTGACCAGGATCATGGCTCAGAGCTAAGTACTTTTTACAAACAGTCAAATGCCTCCTAAGACTACTAGTGCCACGCTTTTTACCATCATCCCTATAAGGATTACCACAATATTTACAAGCAGCCCAGTTTTCACCTTTACTATCTTTATAAGTAATGAAATTAGGCCATACCGTAGACCGCTTGCGAACCATCCTATGCTGCTTCGGGGGCTTTGCAGCATTAGCAACAACAGGTTCAATATGTACATCTACCATCAACGCATCATCAACTGCGGGCAAATTCGGCAGAGGAGGAGGCTGTGAACCTTTCTCCACTTCAATCTCCTCAATATCAATAACGTCATCAAAGTCACGATTTTTGACATCCACACAGGAAAAAAAAGTATGTCAGTTAACAGTTACATGCTTACAGCTAACCTTACAACAGTCAATCACCACCAGTTAACACTCAAATCTCAATCATCAGTTGACAGTCAATCAACAGTTACAGTTGAATGTAATACTTAAAAGCTACAGTTAATGAACCACTTCACCAGTTAACATGATCATTGACCAATCATCAGTTAACAGTTACAATGAATGAACCAGTTGACAACTTGGCATTCAATCACCAGCATTTTTCAGAAATAACAAGTCAACAATAATCACAGCTCATGAAACAACAGTCACCAGCATTTTCTAGAAACAACAGTCAAACTCAAACAACATGCAAATGCAATCACCATTTGACAGTTACAACTCAGTCTCAATACGGTGACAGTCACTTAACAGTTACACACTTATAACAGTGAACCACAGAACCATCGTCCATCAACCATGCATTTTTTAGAAACAACAACAATCAACTACTCAACTCAGTTAACTCACAACTCTGAACTAACTCAATCACTAACATGCAATCATCGGTACCAGTTGACAGTCACAACCCAGTCCCAGAAACAATCAAACAGATACTCAGAAAGATCATAGATCAACGAATAAAAAGAAAAAGAATATTACCTCAGAACAGTTACTATAACACCAGACCTCAGTTTCTCAATTTCTCACCTCTCATTTTCTCAGTCCTGAGTCCTGTATTTAAAGAAAACAAAAACAAACAAACTATTAGTAACTTATGCAATATGCATCAAAAGCTTATGGCTACCTAACGGACCAAATCACCAAAACACATTTAAATGAAAGGATTAGTTTATGGTTTACCTAAAAGAATCTTCTTCAGATCGAATCCAAATCGAAGAATTTTCACTCCTCAGAACATCTCTGAACTCTTAAACTCTTCGATAAAAATTGGAACTCCGAAACTGAATGTGTAAAACCCTAGATCTGAATTTTCTATTTGGATAATTGGGTGGATTTGGTCGATTTACTTAGTTTTGGAGGTGGAAAATGGGAAGAATAGACTATGGCATTTGATTAAAGTCGCCGGCGTCGAAGACAATAAAAACTAAAACCTAGGTCTTATTTTTTGTTCGATTTGTTGGAGGAATTGGTCGATTACTCGATTTATTGGATTGTGGAGGTGGAAAATGGAAGGTGGAGAGTTGTGGAGGTGCAGGTGGAGGTGGGATTGAGGTAAAAATCGACGGTGGCATCTGGTTGACGTCGGCGGCGTCAAAGAATGCAGAGGAAAAACGAAGAAGAGAGAGAGAGAAGGGAAAAAAAGGGGAAAACTGACACCCTAGTAAACTCTTGGCTTACATATCTAATAAAAATAATAATTAAAAAATAAATTAATCGGTTTATCGGGTAGTCCCCGAACAAGTGCTCAGACACCTACACCCGACCCGTGTATCTATATCGGTTATTCAGGTAGGACCGCAATCTCCCGAAATAAACCGAATAGCCGACCCGAACCACCCGAAATTAATTCGGTTCGTGCGATTCTATGGGTTGACCCGACTAATCAGCACCCCTATCCGTTTTGTTTGGGATAAATGTCTGGTTTTGTTATAGTACATTTTACATAACAATTTATGATAAGCAAATATATCATCGTCTATTTTGTCGTTCCATACTTCAAACATAACATTCTTTTGGAACTATAGAAATATAATTTCTACAACTAACAAAAGTTTTTTTTTTTTTTTTTTAAGTACAACAAACATAATTTTTTTTCCTCGTAAAACAGAGGAATACAATTTATGCAACTGACAGTTTGTTGATTAAGCAAAAATGAAAGGAAAAAAAAAAAAGAAGTTAAAGAGTCTTGGGGAGAGTGGAAGGAACATCAGTTGGAGTGTCAAATATCAAAAAACAGAACAAAAGAACATTGATACCAATCACCTCAACTACATGCCCCAATGTATCCCCCATATGAACAGTGAAAACTGAAGAGAGGAGAAAAGGAAAGCTGGTAAAACTAATCACCATACCAAATGGTAAGAAATCAGTTCTATAGTCAGTAAGGCAGGCAAGACTCTGGTGCTTTGAGAGGTGGAGGCCCTCCTTCCAACTCAACAAACAAACTGATGACCAAAAAAAACTTTTCTTTTCTTTTTTTTTTTTTGGCATCAGTCCTACCTTTCACTTTGCTTTTGAAAAAGCAGACAAACATCCTCACTCTCTTCTGATTCTTCTCCTTCTCCTTCTTCTGCTTCTTTCTCACTTGTTAACATCATCTTCTTAATTTTACTAATCTCTCTTCATTCCCTGGAGGGGAAAATTTGGGTGGCTGAAGAAAGAAAGAAAGAAAGAAGAAGAATAAAGGAGGATCATCATGTGCCATTTCTGAGTTCTGAGCTGTGGTATACAGTAAACCATATTTATCTGCATTGTCCCCCCAAGTGAGCACTTTTTCCACTTCCCTATGAATAATTCTTTGCCCTTGAAAGTTAAAACTCATCTGGGCTAGCTGTCATTTTTCTTCTTTTCTTTGGCACTTTTACTTTTTCTATTATTGATTTTGGAAGAAGGATTCATCTGGGCTGTAAAAGTTTTTTCCTTTCTTTGTTCTTTTCTCTTCAATACTTTGGAGGTTGAATTCTTGAGTTTTGCTATCTCCTTCGATGATCAAAGCAGAAGTGAGTTTCTGTTTGAAATGTATTTTGTGTGTTCTGTATTTTTCCGCAGTTTTACTTGCCTTGAGTCATGAGTAATAGGATCTTCCTTCCTTAAATTGTGGTTTTGACTTGTGTTTTACAGAATCACTTCCTTAATTGTTTGAAAGGAAAGTTTCTTACTCTGTGTGTTTCGAAATGCATTAGGTAATTACTGCTAATTCTCTCTCTCTCTCTCTCTCTCTCTCTCTCTCTTCTATTAATTATCTTCTCAGTATCAGCAGGGAAAAAATATCTTTTCTGACCTTCAAAACTTTTAGCTCTTTTGGTGTTCCAACTTCTTCATAGTCATTCAAATTTCTGTTCATCCCTGACTCTGATTTTTTTTTCCTCCTCTTTTTTTTGGTAATTTATCATGGATCAAGCAATTTTTTTGTTTTTTTTTTGTTAATGATGGTTATAGTTGTGTATGTATCAAAACAAGATCAACAAAACTTCGGAAATTGTAACCCTTTGGTCCCTTTTTGTCACATTCAGTTAGTTCTATGGATGAAAATGGTGATTTTTGGCGCTTTTTTTTTGTGTAAATGATGTCATGGTTATGATAATTGTTTTCTGTCCTCTTTGAGGTTTTGCATCAGCTTTGTTTTTCTTCTGTGCTTACCTCTTCCGGATGTGGTTTAATCTGCTAAAGGGTTAGATTTTGGCTTTATTTGGTTAGAGAGCTAATCAGTTTACTTGAATGATGTCATTATCAAAGTTTTGATTCCTATTTGCTTTCTATTTGTCACCTCCTGCTTTTTGTCAATTGTCCTCTCTGTTCTCTCTCTCTCTTTCTCTGTTTCTCTTAATTAAGGGATTTTTATTTTTATTTTTTTCTTTTTTCTTTTTATTTTTTGTGCAGATCAGGGAATTTGGAAAATGACGAAGATTAGTCCTGAGTTTGGAGGTGAAGTTGAAATGCAGGCGATCAGGTCGCTGTCTGCTGATGTGAGCTTTGCTTCAGATCAGTTTCCCAAGTATAAATTGGGGCCAGATAATCAAGTTCTTGAAGAGGTAGATTTGAATGCCAATGGTCCACCGCTGAAGGAGGTTATTTTGCAAGAAACTACGCAGCTAACTGAACAGCACAAACGTCTTTCAGTTCGTGACCTGGCCAGCAAGTTTGATAAGAATTTGGCTGCTGCAGCTAAGCTGTCTAACGAGGTTGTGATGTTGTTCTGTTCTTCATTCTCATAATCAGAATCTGTGCATTTTATTTTGTAAACTGATTGTATCTTCCTACAGTAGCGCGAATTCTGTCACATGAATTGAATGATACTATATTGAAAAAGAAAAGAAAATCTATTGTGGAATATGATTTTAATGTATGTGCCGATTGACAGGGATCATTTTTGTCTTGAACCTTTGTTCTGATAAGAGGCATTTTATTAAGACATCTACATTGTTTTGTCGAATCCAGGCTAAACTCCGGGAGGTAGCATCACTAGAGGGACATGTTCTTCTGAAGAAGCTTAGAGACGCTCTGGAATTTCTGAAAGGAAGATTGGCAGGTCTAAACAAGGAAGATGTGGAAAGGGCTATTTCTCTTGTTAGTTTTTCTCTTCTTGAAATTGCTTTCTTTTTTCTTCCGTTAAGTTCTTGTTCATTTTCTTGACATTCTTCGTCACTGTGTGGATTTTAGTTTCCTCTAAGTTATTTATTCTGTCAGCCTTTTTTGTGTAAATTGCATCTTTGTAATGGACTAACGCCAATCCTTGACAGCCTAGTGGGAAAGAGATTCTTGCTTACGTTCTTGATATGCTTTGGACTAGTTTGAGAATTTTATTAGCTACATTCTCTTGTTTGGATGTTAAACATATTGTATCTTACAGGTGACTCTATAGTCACTATTGAATAGAAATTCACAAGCAACTCATTGTTCCCACTCAAACTTTCCAGGTGGAAGCTTTGGCAGTTAAGTTAACACAAAAGGAAGGTGACTTGATTCAAGAGAAATTTGAAGTAAAAAAGCTGCTGAACTTTCTCAAACAGGTATTATGGCTAGCCTCTATTGCTTCCCAATATACAACCAATGTGCTATGGTAATAAACTGAAGTGTCAGACTTATGGTATCTTTACTCTCTTCACTTGTGGTATATAAGCTAATAACTTGTTATGTAACCACAGAATTATTACGTGTTTCATAGCAATGTTCATGCCCAGATATTTTGATCTACTTTCAATTTTTCCAATTCAGGCATTCAGCCAACCAGCTTGTGTTCTATTAAGCAATTCGACATTGTATATCTACTCAACTCGAGCATTTAATGATGCATGCTCTGCTATAAACATATTGCTGTAATAGACCTTTGGTGAGGAGCTTAAACTTCATGAAGTCCTATTAAGAAAGCTTCTCATGTGCAGGGGCTGGGGAAGGCTAGAAACAGGAAGTTTTAATAATATATTCTGCCTTAAATTATGTTTCTTGAGGCAGTGACAAGGCTCCCTTCGCATTAGATCCTATGTGCTTTACGATATTTAGCACCAGGAGGAGAATACATTGATGTTTGAGTAAACATGGCTTATGTAAAATGTATGGAATAAAGTACAAACAAATAATTTGTGGTAGCTGAGATGAACTGCCATATTCAGTAGACTTTTAGTGGTGCTGACTTTGGAAAAGCTTAAGTGTCTTGCAAAATGTAAATGAAAATTGTTGACTGAAACAAGCACCATTTTACATCACAGCTGGTTTACTTGCTTAGAAGATACGTGCTTCCAGCACATTTCTATCTTTAGTAAAACTCTGTTTATGGGAGTGTACTTGTGACAGGTCTCTGCTCTGATCAACTTATCAATGGCTCGATGTTTGAATTGAGTTTCTTCTCATTGGTTTTTTCTGTCTCATAATTACATGATTCCAGTCGGGACTTGTTGATATACACTGTTTTCCTCTTCTAAAAGATTTGATCCTCTTTCATTCAGGCTTCAGAGGATGCAAAGAAATTGGTTAGTCAAGAAAGATCTTTTGCATGTGCAGAAATTGACAGTGCAAGGTCCGTTGTACTGAGAATTGGAGAAGCCCTTGAGGAACAAGAAAAAATTTGCCAAACTTCTGGGAAACAGGTAGCTAAAATTTGATCATGTCCTTGGTTACACTTTATTTTTTCATTTGGTCAAATACTGCTCGGCAGTTGAGGATAGTTTCTTGATCATGGTCTCATTATTCTGTAGTTGATGATTTAAAGTAACAGTATAAAGCCTACTTTTCCCTTGAGTGTCAACTATACAAGAATTACATTATTGTCTGCTGTCAGGAAATGGAGTCTCTGATGGAAGAGGTCCAAGAAGCTAGAAGAATTAAGCTATTACATCAGCCTAGCAAGGTACGTTATCTTGTACGGATGTGTGGATATTGATTCTGTTATATTTCTTGAGTCCTAATGTCTGGTATTTCGCGACTCAGAAACCTAGGCTTTCTGTTCTTCTTTGGTCTGTCTGCCCTGTAATGATGTTAGAAAGTGCTTTGAAGCACGTTTTGTTCTTTTCATATTATTGAAACTTAGTATCGCTTATCTGTTTACTTCTAATTTCAAGAGGAGCTACTCTGGTAATAGAGAGAACAGCGCCATGGATGCAATTGTGTGCTAATATGCTATGTATTATGTAAATTCTCGGTTGCTGTTGTGTTGATGGAAGTGCATTGATTGTTAGACACGAAGATGTAGTTTCATATAATGATCGCTCTCTTGTTTGCTACTTTTGGTACAATTGGAAATCAAGGTCTTCTAAGCTGTGAATCTTTCGAAATGTACCACTGAACCTTCATTTTTAGTGTTGTCTGGATTCTACCTTAATGAACTTTGTTTAAGCCTATATTTCGTGGTTAGATGGATAATTGAGCTACTCTGCACCAACCCTGTAGTTTTTAGCTTGCTGACCTGCTTTTTTTGATACCTTTCCCTTCTTGCTTTTGCATACTTTTGGTTTGCTGTATTCCACTGCCATTGCTTGATACGTTCCGCTGAAACTCTAATCGTTGCAATTTCTGTTGGAAATTAGCAATGAAAAATTTTTATACTAAAATGTCCTGTAATGGGGTCTCTTATGTTTAACGGTTTCTTTTCCTTCGTCGATTGACTATTGACTGCAAGAATGTGAATCATCTGTTTAGGTGATGGACATGGAGCATGAACTCCGAGCTTTAAAAATAGACATCAAGGAGAAGTCTTCAGTTTCAATGAAGCTGCAGAATGAGGTCCGCCAGATTTCTTGATTGCTTGTTTCCATTTTTATCTATTATGCATAATAAAGAAATGATATTTACTTTCAGTTTCCTTTATTATTAGCACGTATAGCAGGGTACAATCTCGATTATACACCATTAAACATTGATTTTCTAGTACACGTTTAATCTTCCAATATCCATTTACAATTTTTTGTCATACTAGCCACTCACTGATTGTTATTTATCTTCAGCATCAGCTTTCATCATCACAGATCATTGACTCATCATACATTACTCCTACTTTAATTCTTGTAAATGTTATTCGTATTTGCCAAAATTCAGTACAATTACCCAGCAAATGGAATACAGCCTGTTTCTTCATGGCCTAAGTGATGAAGTTCAGGACTTGTTCTTCATCTACTGTCTAAAGATTTATTAAGTTATAAAGTTCCTTTATGAACTGGTACTCATATACCTCTCATTTCCAGCTGCTGATGAAAAAGAGAGCTGAGGAGAACAAACTCCTTCCTTATATGATAAGTGGTTCTGAAACTTTGGGATCAATTTTACGCGTTGAACCCCGCTCAGATGAAGCGACTGATCTTACCAAATGTGCTTGCCAATGGTATCGGTTATCATCAGAATGTAGCAGAAGGGAACCTATAGTAGGTTTGTTCCTAAATTTTATAGTGCAACAAACATTTAGTCCTAACTAAATGTCTGGATCTTATCCTGTTGGAAAGCAGTATCTCAATTTATTCTTATTTTCCCATTCATTCATCTATCACTGAGTATTTGAAGAACTTGGAAAGTTAATTTGTCAGTGGGTTTAAAGTTTTATGAGGAGCCCTAAGGTATAAGTAAACATGTCAGACACCTAAAAGAGAGGATTAAGTAATGCTCCAGCATTAGAACTGGTATAGTTTTGGGAAATTCCAAACTCAAAAGATTCGTATTTCTCTTCATCAGGTGCCGACAAATCCATTTATGCCCCAGAACCAATTGATGTTGGAAGATTTCTGCAAGTAGATATACTTTCAAATGGTCAGAAAATATCAGTGACGACAGCTGGACCAATTGAATCTGGTTGGTAGCATTTTGTTACCTGCCATTTATTTCCATGTGCAATTGGCTAGCAAACTGTGCATTTCTATCTAAACAAAACTTCTTAGCGTGTCTCACAAAGAAACATGGCTAGATTTTGAGCATAATGTTACTCTATATCTTTTTCTGCAGGTGATGGCTTGGGGAACTATGTAGAAACACTACTGCGAAAGTCAAACTCTGAATTTCATGTATGTACACTCCTCTTTTCAACTTTCAAGAACTCCTACTGGTTCTATTGACAAGTCATGAATTGGAACTAAGTTTTAGTTCAAATTTGTCACTTGTAAATTGGACCTGAGCTATAAGTGAATAAATATAATGTTTCTTTTTTTTTTTTTTTTATTGAAATGGTCTGCACTTCTTAAACTTGTTACATGAGCAACAGTTGCAAATTTAATCAGAGAACTCTCAGAGAAAACATGTTAAACTATATTAGTTAAAGGACAATTAGGACGAAAATGTTAGAAATTATGACCATTATGTAGAGGGAAGAAAATAAACCTCACGAAAATTTTCAGCAGTTTGTTTACTTAATTTTTAGGCACCACTGTCAAATTTTTCGTCCTAAACCATTAAGTAAACGTGCATTTTATGCTTGCTACTGAAACTGATCTCAATTGTGTACCTTTCTGCTGATATCTGAAGTTTCATTTTCATTATTGTATCTCTTTCCATACCTCGAAGGGGTAATTCCCCAACCAATGTAAGCTACCGAATTAGATTAAAATAGGTTCATTTTCTATCCATTTAGAACCCCCTGTATCCCAGTTTACCTCAATGGAGCTTCTCCAAGTTTACCTTGCATAAGGATTAGGGAGAATGTTCTTTCTCCCCATTTACTTTTCTCCTCTTTTCTTGATAAATAAGTTCATGCTGTATCTGACAACGATGTGCAGCTTAGTGGTAAGACTGTTCACCTGTTGACCAATAGGTCTCGGGTTCGAGTCATGCCGGGGGTAAGTGGGGAACCACTATTGATCCCTTTAAAAAAAGAAAAAAAAAAGTTCATGCTGTATCTAACAATAGAGATCTTGAGGCTGGTTTTTACCGGTTGTACTAGTTACATTTCTGCTGACCTTTAACTGGCATAAATCATCAGACTTACCTCTTAAAACTCACGGCATTTTCTTTTTCATAAAATTTATGTACCACACAATTACCTAAAAGAGTAATTCTGTTTTGATTGCATCAGATGCATGGTTGACTTATCCTGCCAAAGTTCTTTTTGTAACCATATTTGTTATAGAATGTTTTATCTGGTGTCTTGGGCTTCTAGTCCTTTCCACCAGATATCAGCTGGACTTCTCATGGTCATTACAAAACCGAACTTTGAGATCACATCCATAGCAACTCTGTACCATTGAACTAATTTGTAAATGCCATATCTACTGCGAGTAGTTTTCTTCCTGGTGTGCAATATGCAAATGGAACAACTTTGCTTTATCATTTTGCCTACCCTCAGTCAAGCTTTATATGTGCTTAGAGTATCAATTGCTTTGATGTCATTTCTAGGTGGTTGTCTCACAAATGAATGCACGGAACTATTCATCACGCTCAACGCATGCGTTACATATTGGAAAGACAAGGATGAAACTTTGTAGAGGATGGATTACAAAAGCCAGAGATTGCTATTCTGGATCCATGCAGGTACTGTACTAAAGTGGTCAAATTCAGATCTCTCCTACTATTGGTACAATAGTATTGTGCAATATCAATTTATATCTCCAGATGTAGATGCATACGATTTTCCATTGCTGTTAGCTTAACTCCCGTTTGCAAAGGTTGCTGCTTTCTCATATATGATCCTCATTCGTCTTGTCCTATATTACACAAACTGATACTTGTGCTTTTTCAACTTAGCTATGTGGATTCAGAGGAGGCGGAAACTCGGCAGCCAAGTCATTGTATTGGCAACCAAGGAAAGGACAAACCTTTGTGCTGGTGTTTGAATCTGAGAAAGAAAGAAATGGAGCTCTAACCCTTGCCCGGAAATATGCTCTTGATTGCAATGTAAGTAGCTTCACCCTCTTTTCCATCTTCGACCACCCGCATCCCATATAATTCTTTTCGTCTATCATTTTACAAAAGTCTATGATCTTCCTACATTTTTGGACACGTACTAAAAAACCTGTGACATAGCACTAGGGTCTCTTGAGGTCTAATGCGAAGCTCTTTTTACAGAAGTCCACAATGTTTGCTTTTCTTATCAGCTTGTTTCCGTTGATTAAGCTACTTTTGGCTTCAAATCATTCGGATTTTGTGTTGAAATAAAAATAACTTGCTCGACAACTCAGGACCTTTAGTCACTGCATCATGATTGCATTCAATGGAATTAGCAAACCCTCCAAAATAACAATTTATGGGTAGAAACCATGCATTAAGTCTTCATAGTTCTTCGTCCAGTCCTTGATCCTTCATCCTTCCATTAAGAAGCCGCATTAGATCAGTAGTTAGAAGGTCTTTGTTTGTCGAATGCAAACAAAAGATTTGATTCTCCATTTCCACTTCCCATACTTCCTGCTCTTTAACTTAATATTCTGTTCCATTAATGATGAAGAAATCACGTTGCTGTAGGTGATGTTGGCAGGACCAGATGATGATGCTTTATTCTAAATATGACTAGGTGGTAAATTTTTTTTTCCCCGTTAAATGTGTGTATAACAAGGTTTTCAAGTGTGAGCATTACCCCCCTCTTTTTTTCTTCTTTTCGTGTGAAATGGATGGAAAGAGTAAATTTGCAGTATTAGTCAGGGTATTTTTTTTTTCTCACTAATTAGTTGCATCCACTTTAGGCAGGGTTTTTTGTTTAGCCTAATCATTGGTTGTAACAAAATGTACTAACTCATTAATGATTCTTTTCAGTTGATTTGGGTTAAGCTTTTCAGTCTCTTTTGAAATTTGAGAAACATTTTTCCAGAGATTGAAGTTGAACCAGTCCTTGATTTCTGTTTTTTATCATGACTTCTTCTACATAATATGGCTTCTTCTACATTCATATGCAATTCTTTGAATATTATTGACTAACTCGAACATTAACCGATTGAGAAAGGAAATCTAATGATATCGTCGCATAAGATACACGGTACAGATTACCATGAATTTCTGGTTTTCGTTAGTAAACATCTCTTCCAACTTGATATGAAAACTCTATAATGTATCGCAATTTCACGAGAGCGATTTGAGAGTTGGGACGAGAGATAACGACGAATGAATTATAATCATGAGGCGAATAAAATCACAATAAGATGAAACTGGAATGTGATTGAACTTGTCAAAATGCGTAAGAGCGTCTATGAAACACCAGATCTTATCAATCCATGTTATACCAATGGTTTAAAACTTCCAATCGAATGAATGGAGAGTTGTAGATAATTAGATTGGAATATTAAACAACTCTTTATTTTCCAAATTTGAAACTGTTTTACATTAATTTATTACTCTTATTTTCATTAATACGGGAATGGATAGCTGCTTTTAATCTAATTAGATTGACAACCATGTTTTAGTTTCTCCTCCGTATAGATTAAATCTTACTTCCAGAAATCCAAAGAACCAAGAAAGGACTCAACTTTCTTCATTTTTTTGCTAGTCGAAAAATTCTCTTAACTTTTTCTGGTGTTCATCGTAGTTCTAGTTCTAGTTCGCATGTGATTTTGTTTAAGTGTAATACTAAGATCACGTTATCTGTTGTATCTTGGGAGGTATATACTCTTCAATTCTCTAGCATTCTCTGAGAGGAAGCAAATTTGTTTGAAAGAAAACATATTTTCATGTGTCTCGAAATTTCTTATTTTTGGAATTGTTATTACAAATACCTCTTTATATCTTTTTTCAACAATCTTAGAATAGATTCGGGTTGTATTTGTGATGTTTACCAAAATAGTTTTGAACTATTCCATAGGCTATGTTATGAAACTTGTATGAAGTGGGTCATAGCCAAATCAGTCTGAAGACAACAAGATGGAAGGAAAGTCTTTATTGTTGATATTTCTATCGACTTTTTGGGGCGATGTAAAGATCGATGAAGTGGAGTATGAACATCTACAAATGAACATTGCCTTGTATGTTAATTTTGTCAAGTTGACGAGTGGATCGATGAAGCTAAAAAAAAAAAAATATTACAATTGTTGACGTTGTCATTGGCCGATGGATAGATCGACGAGAACTGACCAGAAAATCTTATTTGAAAATATTGACATCTTTCTTTGTGTCATGTAGGCAAAATGAACGGAGATTAGGGTGCATGCATAATAGAAAGGGAGTGCGACTGCACAAGGTTATTTCAAAAATTTTACATAATTGTTAAAAAAGTCCTCTAATTTTTTTTTTAGAAGAAACCTAATATGTGCTTATAAATAATATCTAATATCTAATCGATTAGGATTGAGGTTACTTTTAACTTCTTTTGTAGCTAAATATTTGAAGATCATATAAAGTGGATAAGATGAATAGATCTGACGAAAATCAAGCATGATCATATTTTGAAGTTATTTTCAATATATTATGGGGACACAACTTATAAGTTGTCCCTATTGATTCCATATGGAAAAAACATTAACGTAAAGTTATGTCTATGACCATACAGTAAAAGACACTAGGTTATGGCTAATCTTAAGGTTTTCTAAAATTCTATAAATATGGATCATTTAGATACTTTTAGTGTACAATAAAATCACTAAATATTTGGAATATTTTCAATGATATTTTTTATCTTTGTATCATGTTGTTGGTTCACTAAGGTGCATAGCGAAACAACATGATCTCCATTTTATCTCATGGGGAATTCGTTTAGACAATTGAACTGTATAGTGGGCGAATTTAACCTAAGGGAAAGCAAGTTTACTTGTGACTTGGAGACAGAACTTTGTTTTATCCTAACTATAAATTCTTTTCTGGTTATTTGATCTAGTGCAGCTATTGTTATCCACTATTCTTGAAGTAGAATTCTAAAAATCTTTAGGCTAAAATTTTCCGGTTAAACAATGGCTAGTACTTGAAGAATCAAGCAACGATATTTTCGTTGCACACGAAAATGGTGGAAATGTTGTAACTCATTGGATTCAAATAGAAAAGGACAATGATATAATACAATATTGGATCTCGTCATTAAAGTAAGAATTATATTTTACTTGTGAATCGTAACATTCCAAGTCCAAGGTATGTATTTATTCGATAAATATATGAATGTAATGACGTGATCTATACTTGAATGAAACATAGTCGTAAAATTTATGAACTTTTGCATGTAAAAGAAATTTACGATGCTTTATTTGTGATTGTCTACATGAGTAGTTTCTATCAAAGCAAAATACTTAATTAATGTGATGATTAATTAAGAAAATATATGTCATAAAGGTTGATAGAGAATTTAGTCATGTTTTATTATGCTTTGAAAAGAAAATGCAAAAATTGGCTTTTATATGATATAGCAATACAATGCTTTGATTGCATGCTATAAGTTTTCTGTTAAGTGGCGTCAACCTTGTTGTCGATAAAAAAAACATCGACAGAAAAGTCGACATCTGTTGAAATTTGTTATGTGGTTTTGTTTGGATTTGTCGACTTATTCGTCGACTAAAGTAACATTGACAGAGAAGCTGACATTTATCGATATGTCTGGCTGTTTGGCTTTGTCGACTTGTTTGTCGGCCGAATTAAAGTTGACAGAGAAGTTGACATCCATCGAACTGTCTGGCTGTTTGGCCTCGTCGACTTAGTCGTCGCCTGGATAAAGTCAACAAAAAAGTTGATGACGGGCCTCGTAGTCGTCGCCAGCTTAAGGCCGACAGAAACGTCAACAAAAAAAACCTCTAGAAAAATAATTAATAAATAAATAATTTCTTGTGTGCAAATTTTTTATGCGTGCATCACATATTAATAGTTTGATTTTAGGTTAATCAAATTAAGAAATTTGATCCCAATAGAGTATCGGTTTGGTGCGTATCTGATTGGTTCATGATGAATAATTAATTGTTGAAATTAATTTATAATTTATATGATAATTTCATGTAATACACAGTACGATATATATAAACATGCGATCTTTGCACTTTGAAAATGATAAAACAATTAAGTGTAAGTAATGCATTATTTATAATTAAATTGAATATGTTGCATAAAGTATAAAAATTAGACTAATTCTTACCATGATGTATAAGTTTCATGAAATGACAAGAAATATCTGTCATTTGTGAACTAATGTGATTCTGAAAATTTTGGATGGAGAAATACACCAAAGGGTGTCTGTAGTGAATATAAATGAAAATACATCAAGAAGGTTGTGTAAAAGACACAAACTAAAACTTGTGTCTTATCGTAATAACTGTAAAGGCATCAACATAAAGTAATGTATGGTACTTTTACTTGAAAAGACACGAGTCAAAATCGTGTCAAGTTATCCAAAAGGTAAAATGAAGCCAAAGAGTGTGAATGAAAAAGATATAAATGAAAGGTAGTGTCTAGTCATTCAAGAGGCACAAACCTAAAGGTTGTCAGTGAATAGATACTAGTTAAACTTGTGTCTTATTTGTGAAGAGTCAATGATGTGTGGTCTATATGATATATTATGATATCAACATACGTTATGAATATGCCATGTTGTCATTATTATATGAGGATGATAATATTTTATGTGTTGTATATGGCAAATTATCTTTTGACTTGAAAGCAAGTAGTGTTGATTCAATATACATAAATCAAACAAGTGCATATTAAAGAAACATTCAAATAACAAATGGGTCATTATGTTTGGATGTAGATGACAAGTTAACTTTTTGGTATAAATTGTCTATTAAGTTTGATATTGAAGATATGGTCAAAACAAATGTCTTGTTTGAAAAGAATTTGAGAGCAAATGTGATACAATCACACATACTCTGCCTTGCTATATTGAGAAAATCTTTAAAAGGTTCAATCATTGAATTGAAAACTTGAGAGATTCCCATAGAACTTATCATATAATATGTTAAGAGTTAACGGGAACTTCTATCTCAAATAAATAAGCACATATAGTGAAAAGTTGAATATGATGTATGCAACTTGCATTGTATGATTTTAATTGAATTCAATGACTTTAATATGATGTATGAAAATTAAAATTAGAAGTTCAATTTATGCATATGTTTATAGTTTATATACATGTACTTTATCATACATGAACCTACGTAAAATGTGGCCAAAAGTTTGAGTTTGTATAAAATAAAGTATTGCTTCTTGTACATCTCTAGAAACGTGTGTTAATGCTTAAGACATTAAGCAAAAGCCACTGCTTTAGGCAAAGATGTTCAATGGCTTGTGATATATTGATAGAGCTTTATATACAAATGATTCTATAAGCCCTACATCTTCTTTGGACTAAAGAAGACTGAACCTGTAACACCCCGAGATTTCACCAGCTTGTTTCTATCTAAGCTTTTTTTTTCCTTTTTGAAAGCCAACGTGAAAGACAAGTCAAGCTAGCAACACCGAGATGTCAGCAAGGCTCACGCCTAAGGCACACTAACACTTAATTGCACCACAGAAGAATTCAATAAAACCAAACTTTTATTAGAAGGAGGATAACACCTCAACCTCAACGGGTACATTAACTTATTATGCACTAAACCTTATCTCTACATAACATTAGAGAACAAGCTCTTAACAACAACATTATTCAACCTACTTGGCATTCTAAACTCAAGCAGAGGCATAGACAATCTCAAGTCCTACTCTAGTCTCCTGAGAAAATTGTTCCTTCGAATAACAGCATATCCCTTAATGTGTTCTTGGGAGGGGACGGGGGAAATATATAGATATATAAGGGGTGAGCGCTGAGCTCAATGAGATTCTCACTATATTACTACAATAATTTAAATAAAAGAGTTTGAAAGAAAATATTATTCACTTGTAAAACAGTTTCACATAAAAACAATGAAACAAATATACAATCAAAACACTTAGCATTATCATATAACAATAGGGTGGATATCAAGATCGCAACAAGGAGCCGCATCAGACCTATATGGCACTGTAGAAGGTGAACCCAAGTCGGATCATAACTCTGGACATTTAACCCAAACATTAACTCTTGTAACTCTTTCCCTTATGTCTTCCTTGGTACCAACTCTGGATGACTCATGAGTATCAACTCTGGTCAAGGTAACTAGCTATCCAACCAAGCCCGATGTTTGACTCGTTTAGTTTTG